GCCTTAACTTCCCAATCACTCGCCATCTTTCAGTCGCCAGTTGGCAAAGATTTACAGCGGCGCAATGCAATGGCGTGAAATGACATCATCAATGTCCTTGCTAGTGAGGATAAGGAAAATATGCCACTAGGGTGTCAGATGTAAATTCTTAAATGAATTTTTCAAGTGGTGTATTTTCCAGTAAAACAATTGTGTCTATATAATAAAAAATATATGACACTGCTTATTATAAGACAAGATGATAAATTAAGTAGAAGACATACCATAACTTGGCAGCTTTTTGTCCAGATTTGGAGCCATACATTGCTGACCAACATGTCCAAGACTGCCACAGTTGTAACAAGACAGACGGCAACCATTCAAAACTGCAAATTTTCTTGGATAAATATTGGAGCAACCTGTCTAAAAAAAGAGACACCAATGTATCCATTATGTGGCTGCAGGTCTTGCATAAAAATCACGCCATCTTCACAACAATTTGACAAAAAAAACCCTCACTAATGGGATATAGCACTCTTGATTCATAGAGCCCTGTTCGAGCCTGATAGCTCATCTGGCCTGCGCTAAATCTCTGGTTTCAATAAAGCGACTAGGAGTATTTCAAATCTCCCTGGATGGGATGTTAGTCTATCACCTGGTTGCCCCCAACATTAAATTTCCCAGTAGGCCATTTATACAGCTGAATGGGGAGAAGCACTGTGAGAGATAAGTGTCTTGCCAAAGAACACAACTAAAGCCAGGTCTTGAAACTAGACTCTCCAATATGGAGTCCAACACACTGGGCTGTCACACCTCCTCCAACCCCCTGTCCTACCCTCCCTACCCTCCCTACCTTACTTGTGAGCAGCTGATTTCTCTTATGAAAGTTAACAACAAAGCTACATCCATACATGTACAATGTACACCAAAACAACGCCAGCATACCATAGAGGTTACTTGCTCCCTATACCTTTTTATAATTATTACACTTTTCAAGCAGTCAAGATCTTTCTGCCCAGCAAGGCAATTTGTGACATCAAAATAAACTTCTTCCAATTTGCAGTAGCAGCTTGCTGAACAAATTTCACTTAAAAGGAGCACAAACCTGAGTGCCTGGCTCAGACACCACGTCACTGCCACAGTCACTCGCACTGTCACTTTCACTGACACTACGCAGAAACTCACTGTCGGAGTTGTAACTTAGTGCTGGTGGATGAACAGGAAAACTAGACGGTATTAAAATGCCTTTGGAGTGAGTCGAGGTCTGCAAAGGAGTTAGGTCTGATGGTGGAGACGGAAGAATGTCCACTATTGTTAAACCATTGGAGGTGAAACAGCCACTTGTCCTATACAACAATAACAAAACAATTACTATAAGGAAACTGGTATCACTCAAATACCTGCAGAGAACAACTCAGTAAGTTATTCTTTTAGTTCACTCACGAAGATAAAGAGAGCTGAGACTTTCACATGAAGTTATTCTATGTCCAGCCCTTCAATGTAAAATTTAAAACGTTCTAAAGAATATATAATATGCACATTACTAGTAGTATGTCCTTTACTGGACCTCACATGGCTAGGGGTTGAGTCAGGTGTATAAAACAGGGGTATCAACCTAGTAACAAGGAGCATCAATGCTTCTCTACAATTCTCCCTCCTCCCAAGATGGGATATTAGTCCACTGCAAGGTTACCCCTTAACTTTGCTGGTACCCATTTCTACATCTGGGCAAAGAGCCCCCGAGGGCACCATACAAAGCATACAGGGAGGCCCTGCCCTGAGGTCCAACCCCTTACCTTTTGTATACCATTTTTGTTTACCTTTTATTGAAAAAAGGAACCCCTTTCAAATACCTACTTAACAACACTACATCACTTTTCTAAACCCTCAGAATGAGGTTAATGAATTAAATGAACAATATTACAGGAGAACACCAAGTATTACTACAAGAGATGTTAACCAAAAAAAACAAGTATTATTCATTCAGTTCATGTTCACATTGTACCTAAATGACGGATGCTCCTACCCTTTCATATGCCTCAACTTGTATCCTTGACTTGTACCCTACCCTTTCATATACCTGAAGCCTGAAAAAGGTACCCCTTTTAGGCAGAGTCTTGCCATTCAAACCACTATAGGGAGTACCTCCCCTGGCCCTGCTAGAGACTGGCACTGTTTGAGTGTTTTGTTTGAGGACACAGTGTGCCAACCAATAGGCCGCCATACTCCATTGTAAGGTATGCAAAGCTTTGTTTTTAAGCTTCACTTCCCTGAATTACACAAAGTTAGACCCCCACTACAACAAACTGTTTCACAGCTGCAATAAGTTTATAAGTATACCGTAGAACTTCCAGGTTAACTTGAATTTTCTTTCTAGCTCCTGCTGTCAAACCAAGTTTTTCAAAGTCTTTATCTGAAAGCTTCAGCATCTGAGGAGGAAAATCAGTGTTGTCAAAAATCATATTTCACTTTGTTAACCAATTCTAGTTATGGCACTGACCATGGTAATATTAAGTGTTAGCATTTTGTGTTCAAGAATAAATTATGTTTTAGACAAGCAGAGGCAGATTGACTTCATAGGGTTCGAAATTTAACTTGGATTAGCCATTCACATATTATGTTGCAAAGCTATTCCATGCTCATACCATCCCTGCAAGGTGCCAAGACAGATCAGCCTCTCAACAAGAACAAGGGTTAAGTTCAGACAATCCAGTTGGTTTAGGGGTGGACACAAACATTACTGTCCATTATTTAATAAAAAATAATTTTCGAAGAGAAAAAGAACTGCTAAAAAGGTTGAGTCTTGTTTTCCCATTAAGCCATTCTAGATGGAAATTTGTGTTCCATTTACTGTTTGGCATCATTTGCACCAGTTCCAAGCCTTTCACAGTCACCACATCTTTACCAGAATGACACTTTCTTGAAGGAAAGTTCAAATGGAACACATTCTTCACTACATTCCCATTCGTTAGGCAGCCATAATAGAAAGAAACATCTGATCAGAAAAAACACTTAATTACTCATAGGCCCTGGAGCCCAGCATTCTGCAAGCTTAACCCAGTAACCCACTGGTACAAAACTGGGTGCAGTGGATAGTTGCATTAGAGGCACCGTAAGTTAATGTTACATATTTTGCCCAGTAACTCCATCAAGCTCAAAGGCTCAAATGCAGACTCCCTAAGTACAATATGTCCATTACATCGCCATATAGAGAAGAGGACAATTATTGTACTGTAAAAGAACACCTACTGTACAAAGGTCTATGGTAGCCTTAATTGAGTCTCACCTCATCAAAAGTCTTTCCTTTGAACACTTCAGAATATTTATGCAGTCTTAGATTTCTAAGCCATTCAGAAACAGTCATGGTATGACTATGGGGTCTAAATGTCCAGTTAATATTTCCAGAACAAGATCGCTGCCGTGAAAATGATGGAGAACTTACAGGAGACGTAACAGGTGATCCATTTGAAGATGGAGAAGGTGATGGGTATGATGTGACAGGTGATGAAGGCATGGTTAGCTGCAGTGATGTCAGAGATGATGGAAGAGAAGAATGCAAGCCATTGGAAGTAAGCATGTGTAACATGTTACTTGGCATTGCTGTGGGGAATAAAGGTTTATATGTAAGAGAGCTTTGGGATGTAGTCAGCAGAGCACCTGTTTGCAAACAGGAAAAAGAAAAAGAAAAAAAAATAGAAAATTAATCCTCTTATGCTTTTCAGGTCAAGTTAATATCTCACAATAACCCTTTCATCGGGGGCTTCAAATTAAGCTATAGTTCAGGGCTATACCCAAACTATACAGGGAGTAAGATATTTTTTCAAGATTTTTCTCTTTTCATTTTGAATGCTTTTCAATTCAAGCTGTGGCTTCCTATGAGTTTGTTAGTATGATTTAAGGTATTCAACAAATAGCATATTAAAATGGTACAGGGGGTATAATGGTGTATTATATATGATGTCTCTGGGTTGATGGTCACTGTTTTACAAGTAAGTGGTGTTCCTCATGGAAGTCAGCAAAAAGGTTCTTCAGGGCTTTTTGAAAAATTGTGTCTAAATTTCTGGCTGATACCCAATTGCTTGATAGCAACATCAGTCCGATAAGGGTACAAATGTTATACCTGATGATGATGAAGTTGATGATGACGATGATGATGCCGATGACAATGATGGTAATAAAGTTTTTGATGGTAAAATCTTAATAAATCCATTTTTGCCTTGTTTTTCATTTAAGAGGGATTCTTTGCTTTCTTCCTTTACCTTTGAATTTTCTGCAACACACAAAAAGCATACAATTGACTTATTTTTTAAAATCAGCCTCATGAAAAATGATAAGAGAAAATCAAAAGCTCTAAATCGTCAAACTAAGAAGAAAATTAAATCAGTGCTCTGAGAGTCTAAGTGACTGACCAGTTTTCATGACATGAAGTAGCTAGAGACATTGCTTTTCCTGCTGAATGGAATGCTAGTCCATCACAGGTTACTCTTAGCCTATCTGTTTGTTCACTTCATTTGACATTTGATAGATGGATAGATTTTATTTGCCCCATTTCTCAGTTACCCACAGATACACTTTGAAACAGTGTAGAACTAAACAATGCTACCTTTGGGTTGTCATAAGCCATCAAATCCCAAGGCAAGATACAAGTTATGTGAAGAACTGCCCCAGGGAACCTGCCCATCTCCCAGGGGGATTGATAGATGTGTAAGGGAGTGAAATATTAGAATCTGGAAAACAAAAGAAAACCTTGGGTCCATGATATTACCCAAATAGTCCTGATAACTTACCAGGCAACAACACCTTGACCTCGTTGCCATTTTCATCAAGAGCAGTCACTGTTTCCTCCTCATCAGACACATTATTTTGAGATTGCTTTTTAGCATTTGTGACATCCACACTTTTCATGTTATCTTTTCCTCCAAGCGATTGTTCGCGCACAGCTTCAGCTATCTTATGAGGTGTTTCAAATTCCTTTTGCTTGACTTTGTCAGATTGTTCTTCCTTTTTTGTTGAGCCTTTAGCCTTCTTACTGTCTGACTTCTTTCTGGTTCTTTTCTCACTTTGAAAGAACTTCACGACATGATCACAGCCACGAACAAACTTAGGAAGATTGCTGAACAACCTGAAGAATGATAAATTATTGTTGTTATCTCTGTAAGTGTTTTTCTTGTAACTGATTATGCATCAGGAAGTTATCAGCAATTTTGTTCCTTGTAAAGTGATCCTAGAGGCAGAACACACAAGGTTTATCACTTTGTTAGATTAAGGGCTGTCAAGTTTCACACAAGTTTATGGCAAAAAAAAAAAAATTATTTCTCTGAGTTTACTACATCTAATTCATTCCTAGCAAAATGGTGTAGGCACTGTGCTTAAATTTGAATTTGGATGTGGTAGTACNCATTCACCCCCTTGGTAAAACTTTCTTTCTCTCCCCAGTCTTCCACTGCATGAAAAATTCAAGATGGTGGCTAAACTTTTTACGATGTGAGCGCTCGCTTGAAAAAATCTTGCCTGCTCTGCAGGCTAGTGAAATTCCCTCCATGGTGGGGGTATGGATATTTTCTGGAACTACACAATATCTTTAGCTGGTCCCTTGGCCTTTCACTATATCAAAATTCTACAGTAGCAAGCAAGTACACGAACATGAAAGTGATCAACACTAAGAAGACTACAAACAAGTCAGACAGGTTTTTTTGCATTCCAACATGCCACTGAATGACTTAATGAGTTTGAAAACCTGGGCAAGTGGGAAGTGTCCCAGGCAAGCAAACTTTAAGAGTTACTTGCCCTTTTTGAGACTTGATATATAATGAATTACTATACCGTAACTGGCAGGAACAAATTCTCGCTAAAACTCTACTGTTAACACAAAATTCTTACCAGGTAAGAAAGGAAGCTTCCAAGGATTACCACTTGCATCAACTTTATTTGGGTACATTTTCCGCAACTTTGAAAATAAGAGGGCACACAATTCTATGTATTAATAAAAGGCTACCACTTGTTATTCAATGTTCCTATCCAATGGCCATGGGTAAATAAGCTATGTATTCCAAAACCTAGTTTGTCTTACTTTATGCAGATGTAAATTTCACAGAAAGTTCTGCCACATGATACTATGTTGTCACAGTCCTGTCGAGCAGCTATAGTTAACTAACTTTAAAGTTTAATACCAAGGAGAGCTGAACTTTACAGTCAATTCAATAGCAAGCACTAATTTAATATGGTGGACGGAATAGTTACATGTACCTTGCACTGAAAGTCAAACATCTCTTCATATGTCCTGTGTATTATTTCTGTGGTATTATCACACCACGAAATCTGTAACATGAAATCAAATATTTTGAGATCACAGAATTTAATCTAGCAGCTCACCCGGAACCTAGTTCACCAGAATATACAACAGAAACTCAATCAATCAGACCAATGGTTGATTGTAGAGTTATTGCTCAAACTGTTGGAATTAGCAAATCAATCAACTTTATTCAATAAGAGTGACACCATTGGTCTTGCCACAAACCAATCTCTGGTCCTTAATTGATCAGATCCCAGAAAGAATTGAATGATCTAAAAGTGTTGGCTTTTACAAAAGGAAGAAAACTATAAAACCCAGAGAAAACCCTTGCAGCAAAGAGTTTAGAAACAACTCATGGTCCCAGGCCACACTGCAGTAACTTTCCATATCAATCCACTTCTTCTTGGCCATACAGACCAAATAGTGTTGTACCAGGAATTGCCTAAACCTCAAACATCACTAAGGTTTGATTCTCACAGAAATATGTTAATTCAAATAAATATGATTAACAATGATTGTAGTTAAAAGGGCAATTTTAAGTGTTTGTTAAGCTGGCGCTCTACAGGTATACTGTACAAATGAGATTTCAAGAGTTGTTTTCAAATGATTTGGCCCTTCTGGTTTCTCAGTTTACCTTTGTCTACCTACTCTATTTACACAACTCATTTATTTAATTTGGGTAAGCCATGATTATTACCTGTAGAACATACCGATGATCATCACGTTTTCTTAGCTCATGTCTAGATTTCTTCTCCTTTATCTTCTCTATTGCCTGCACTTTAATCTCTTTGACATAAACTGTAAACAAAGTAGGAAGATAACCCCTCAATCACGTTAATAAACAATAACATCACCTCTTTTAGCATTGTCAAGATAATAGACCCTTTTCATAAATGGCTGCCAATTTAAAATTATTTTGTAGGCATTTAAATTAGCCTCACTAAACTCGTTTGGGAGTTACAATTCTCTTGAATTATCAACTCAAAAATGAGGTCAGTCAAGCTAATTTTAATACCTACAAAAGAATTTATAAT